TCACTTTAAACTAAACCCTGAGGCCGTCACCTCCTGTACCAACCTGTTGGTGGACTTGGTTCATATCATCGAAACCGATAGTCAGACACTTACTTACAGTGTCCTGCCACGGGCGACAACTTGTGTCCTTAAAATCCCTCAAATCGTATACAAAATCTTTATAGTTTCCGAAAACTATGCGAGGATTTTTTTACCGTCTGCTCTTTTTTGATTTTGTCCCACCTAATAGCTCGTATAATCGGCGTCGCCTATGAGCCGATAACTATAATAATACAATTATACTACCCGTCGTAAGTGAGTAGGCGTGTATGTTCACTATTTCCAACTAATTGGCAGCTACTAACTTTTCGTGTGCAATCATGAGAACGACCACTGTTTGAATTTGTCTACTGTATCGATGAATTTTCCAGTCAATATGCCACCAATAGGGAGCTCAAAGGCGTTTGCCTACCCTTTCCTCAATAAGACTAAACTGAACATGCACCAACCGCATGCAACGTTTAGATACGCATTCTGTACGTGCTTGAAGTTCTGATCATGCACGCAGACACACAGAGTTGCTTCGAAAGACATCGGTTCTCAAAAGACAAAAAGAATGTCAAAAGTTAGGAGTAATCAAGGAGCGAGAAATCTAACACACGTACGATGTAGGATTCGCTGAGACTGGGCAGACTGGGACGGAACTGCCGAGTGAGGCGACGTTTCATTTGAGCATCTGATTTTTTACCCAAGGCGGTGGCCGTTGGAGCTGCTTCTGGTGACGAAGTGGAGGTGGTGAGCGAAGGATTCGAACCCGTCAAACTTTTGTTTTGGGAAGGAGAGAGGACGACATGTTGGTCGCCGGAGGGTGACATCAAGCTTTTCTGACTTGCTGAACTTGTCGCAGATAAGTGCATGGACGCGGTGCGGCTCTGTTTTAGAGGGAGGGGATAAATAAGGGAGATGGAGTACGAGGGGATGAGGTGAAATAGCAAGCAGAGCATCCGCAGCAGCGGCACCACGGAATGTTCAGTAGAGTCACATTTAATTTAAACAACACGATCTA